AGAAAAAAAAGGCTAATACTAAGTGCCACTGCCCAAATAAATAAAATAATTGTCTTTGGAAATTTTCTTCCCCTTTTCAAATACTGCTACCACATAGACATCCTTGCATCAATTCACACAAATAAAATCCTGAGCTCTTTCCATTTCTTCTTCCAGCGCTCAATGTGGAGAGGGTAAAGAGCTCCCAATGCAAAGCGGCATTTCATTCCCAACGGCATAGGAGAAGAGATTCGATACATGACACACACAGAGAAAAGAAAAAAGAATTAACGAAATACATAATTACCAGCTGAGAAATGGCCTTGGGGAATAGGTGGTGGTGGCGGCCATAGGAGTTGGAGCGGGACGAAGGAGCTACGCTTTGAAAGTGAAAATGCGCCAACACCTTGCGATCAGGCAAGGGTTTAAGTAATAAATCCTCAGAGAAATCTTCTTCTGTCCCCTCAGATACCGATCCAATGGCTGGGACAGCAAATAAGATTGGCAAACAGAGCAAAGAAATCAGTCGCAGAAATGACACCATTGCGTTCAGTACTGAATCCTGTATATAAGAAGCAAACCAGAGACGAAAATTAACAAGAAAACAGAAAATATTTAAGCTGCAACTGAAAATCTCAGCTTAAACGACCATCTTCATCAGCAAAATTTTTATTTTTTTATAGCCGATGAGTTTCCCTCCATTCTTGGCTAAGCCAAGGAACATTTGAACTTAAAAAAGATTACCTGATAGCCTCCGTTCACATCGAAGAGGAAGATCTCAGCGTTTTCATAAGAAAAACCAGAGCAATAGAAAATCGAAAAGAACCGAGCGGCGGAGTGATGGAATCGAGGCCGGATAAGAATCAATTTTGAGTAGACGGAGCTCCAACTTGGATCTCCCAGCGGCGGCGGAAGCAACGATGGAGAAATCCAGGCAAAGCAAGAGTAATTTCAAGCTGCTTTCTGGAAACTGTGGATTTGAAGCTTAATGTTGCATCTTCAATGGCATCCGGAAAGGAGGAGGCGATGAAGATGGGAAGAGAAGAGTTCTTCACTGCAAAACATCCAACCAGGAAAATCCCTCTCTCAAACTATGAAGTATATTACAATAATACCCTTTTCAATTTTTTTAAGTAGTTAATATATTTGGTGATCATTTTTACCGTTCAAGTAAATCTAATTTGCTGTGGTAAATCAAAAGTTACCTCAATTATCATATAGATTCATTTCCAATTCTAATGGTCTCGGGTACGTTATTTTTTATTTTCACTATACTATAATGTCCCGTTATGAAATTGTATTCAATTGTTATTACGATGAGCTGATTAAATAGTCTTTTTCATCAAGCCTAGCTTGTGTTCGGGCCAGAGAATAAAATGCTTTTAGAGAGAGTAGCTTCTCGTGATTTGAGTTATTGAAGATAATATATAGAAAGGGACACCTCCGATACGAATTTATATGCACATGCTCTTTATGGTCATGTCACCATCAGATTTAGACCAACTGGTCATTCAAGTGAGGTCGCAGTAAAAAACGAGTATCGAGAGAGTTGGATTTTGTGGGATGAGGAGACGAGAGTAGTATCTTTACTAGGTTAGTTCTAGAGATCATATAATTGACGGGGTACATGTTCAACCTTTATTTTAACAAGTTTGAGTATAGAGATAGTCGTAATTAGGTAAGGAATCCTTTTACTAAAACTCGAGAGAGTTTCTAAGAGAGTGTTATAGTAGCTAAAATGAGAGTATTATAGTAGTATCGTTAATAAAGATGCCCTAGGGCAAGGTAGGGACGGAGAAACTTTTCCATCCTCGTCCCCACTATGGGTTTCAATTCTCATGTCCACAAAATTCTCCATTTATTTTTATTCATTTTTTTAATACATATATTTAAAATAATATTTTTAACGGATAATTTCCCTTTTTCAATATAATTTTTATTAAAAATTATAAAACATCCCAATAAATTCAATAATATTTGAGGAGCAAATAAATATAGGTTTTAAATAATAAAAAAAAAAAATTAAACTATAATAAATTGTTTATTAGAATAATAGGTGAACAAATCCAAACCAAAATGTGAAAATAATGAATTTATTAAATCAAAAGAATTAACCAAATGCTTCCAAACTCCACTTTTCCTTACCTAAATTCCTTATTAAATGTTATATTAGCTCTACAACTCCAACCATCCCAAATAAATAAATAAATAAATAAATAAATATTTCATTAAAATAATTTATTTATTTTTTATCCAATAATTTGGCAACACACTTGTGGTTTGTCTTTATGATGGAACTTTTGTTTTATTTTGTGGGGTTTCATAAATTTGTAGTATTTCCACAAATCCAATTTTTTTTCATTTATTATTTTCTTGTGCAAAAATAATAATTATCAAAATTAAAAGGATCGAGTAAACATAATTCCACTTTTGCCCCTATAACATTAACTTTTGCACTATATTAATCTCAAGTAACCAGCGTTCTCTGATACTATTTGTAATAGTTCAAGACATTGGACGAGTCGTTATGTATCATCGGTAGTCTGACTGTGTTATAGGGACTATTTAGGAAATTTATGTGTTGTTGTTTTTTTTTCTTTTCTTTTTTCTAATTAATAGGAATAAGAATAATTATTTTAAAAATAAAAAATGGTTATGGTTAATCTGAAATGAAGGGATGAAAGCAACACGTTTTACTCCCACAATAACCGCTCCACTTCACAAAAATCAACACAAAGAATTACACTAAAAAGGTAACTTCTGATTCAAATTGGAAACCCATTTCCTTCTGATTTTCTGGGAATGCTTTTTAATTAATCCCACAGTAAAAAAACACAAATGGTGAATTTTTCCTGCAAATTTACTGTTCATCATACTCTTCTCGCCAAGGTATCCAATGCCTTTTTTTTTTTTTTTTTTTTTTTTTTTTTTTTTTTTTTTTTTT